GGCTAGCGTTGCTAATAAACACTAGAAGTCAATAGTCACCCAAATCTTTTCCATAAATACATCCCCATAACTTTTCTTATTGAGCTCAAACCACATCTGGGTCTTCTGCACAATTCAGTGGGCCTCATTCACTGTTTCTAAGAAGAAATTTCTTCTTAAAGCCCCCTTATGCAGTTTTTTTTACCAAGATTCTAACATTCATTAATGTTTTCTTATTTAGGATTTGTTCTTCGGTTAGAACAGAATCTACGCACACACAAGAGCACTAAGATGAGAACGGTTCTGCGGTTTAAGAATACGTCATGACTCTGACGTAGACTTTTTCTTAGGACCTTTCCCAAGAACATGTTTAAGAAAAAACTTAGGAACATATTGGTGAATGAGGCCTAAACCTTAAGATTTAAGCACAATCATTCAGAGTGGTTTGACGTGAAGTACATCATTCTAGAGAACCTTACAGAGTCTGAATTGATGACAGTGGTGGTAAAAGGAACAGGCATCCAAACTACTTATTACCTCTAAAAGTTCCTTTCCAGAAATAGTTACAAATATGCTGTCTGATGCCTGAAACATTGTTTTATGAGAGTTTTGAGATAAAGAGATAAAGGTTTTGGCGGAACGTTACACGCAGGCAAAAGAGTACCCAAAGAAAACTTCACATATGCTGCTATTTTATCATTATCAACATTGCATATTTAAGTGTCCGACACAGGCCGTCGATGCTACAATATGAAAACTCAGAAGACACGTTAACTGGTCACTTTGAAGAGTAAATAAAATAAAAACTACGTTTGTGTTGTTGACATCATGACCCCTGGTTCCTATCACCACCACTGGAAAGAGATCTGAGTCAGTAAGTTTCTCCACAATGAGCTGATTGAATTGTGCAGAAATTTGGAAAAATCAGTGAAATTCCCCTTTAAGTTTGTGCACATTTGTCAGTGTGGTTTAGGACACAGAGTCTTTCTGTGAACCTGCATCATCTGCATCAGGCCCTTGAGCAGCCTCTAAGCCCTGCTGAGGTGTAGGACAGGCCTCAGCCCAGAGGGATCAGGAATCAAGATGTTGTTCCTGAGGTCAAATTGCAATGGAGACGTCCAGCAATAAAAGCAGCAGACCATGTAAGACAAATCCCCATCTCAGAGTTCAGTCAATGAGAAGCTCATCACCCCTCAGGCCCAGCAGAGGGAGAGAGGGAGAGAGGAAAAAAAAAAAACATCTCCATCTCCTGCACAAGCTCCTGGGCTTCTCTTTAATGACAGTGCAGAAATTTCCTCCAGCACATTCCAGCTCCATCCAAGTTTTGCCAAACGCATTAGTCATCCAGTCATGCATAAGCAAGTGACCATGTCAGCAATAAATTACGCAACAAAAAAAAACTTTATAGATAAACAGAATATCTTATTTCTCCAAAAGTGGTGATATGAAGGCAGAACTTTTAGTCTTGTTTAACTTAAAATGTCTAACCACATAACTCTGTGTTTGTTAAAATAACTAAATTATTGCTACATGACATTAAGTTTCCACTTAAAATAGATACTATTAGGCTTAAGCTAATCAAAACTAGTCAGATTGGAAGTGACAACAACTTTGTCACAATGCCAGCTCAGTAAATGTTAGCTGTCTAATGTTCAGATAAAGAGCAAAAAATATTGTGACTTTTGAAACACTTGATTGAAATTGAATCGAAATTGATTACGCACTCTAAATTCAGGTATTTTGATAACAACTGAATTGTGTGCTACAGTTTCCCATTCAATTGAAAGGAATGTCTAGTAAAGCTTTCCTATCTTGCAACAGTTACTACAAAAGAAAACTTTTCTGGCCAGAGCATGAGTATAGATCAATTATTGAACAATTTTAAGAAGCAAAGCAGCTCATAAACCTGGCTTGTAACTTATTCACTGACTCGCTCACTCGCTCACTCACTCACTCACTCACTCACTTACTCACTCATGTTGAGCAGGCTAAAGATGCTCTACAAGTGGGTGCTGTTAGCTGCCAAGTAGCTTTTCGTGCTACTTAAGAGTGGTGTTTTGCATCAATGTGTGAGTTTACATGCACTCAATAATCCAACCATAATCGTATTTCTGCAGTTATCTGATTATTCAAATGGTCACATGGTCAACAGCATACTCTGATGTCTTAGATAGGAGTAAGGTTTTGAAATCTGATTATGAAATCTGATAAAGAGACCTGGATTTTAGCTCAGTAATCAGATTTCTCAGCGCATGTGAACTCTTACTCTGATTTCTTTTGGATTTCTCAGTCTGCATGTGTGCGAAAACAGATGGCGGTACTGGAACTAAGGAAGCAGTGCTGCCGCGAGACACGGCCAAACACTTTTGGAGCGACGCTGAAACCAAACCAAAAAAGAAATGAAGGATTCAAATATTCTTTATTTTCTAGATGATGTATGCTGATAGTTTCAGGTAAAGTGGTGCGAACACCTGATTATTGATTCAGGTCACCTGTTCAACACATACATACTTAATACTTA